CAAATCCTTGGCAAGAACTTTTGATCATGAAGCCTCCATGTATATACAATATTTTGACATCATTATCTGTTCTCGTAGTGATAAAATTTTATTGTATACAAATTAAATATTATTTTATTAAAAAATATAATACCGTACATTTGTGTTTCCCCACCCCGCTCCCCCAACAATTATTGCTTGTTCTTCTTTCTACCCTGATTCAACCAAACACGGTTCACATAGCAGGGCCGTAGCCACGAGAATGGAAATGGTCAGGTTGCGAGCGAAGCGCGAGCACTGATGATTGTAAACTGTAATTACATTAAGCCATTAAACTGTAATATTATTAACTAAGACCAATCAACACATAACATAAAACATGTACATATCAAAATTATTATGTTTAATCTTTCCTTGTCGGTGCTTGCATAAAACGTGATTTGGATCTAACATGATGATATTGATAAAAAATCGAAATTCTCTGTACAATATTATGCTAAACATACAGAGTGGACTTCCTTATGTTGTGGTCATATTAGACTGAAATATTATTATTAAAGAAGTCTATTCAACAAACAACATAAAACATATACATATCAAAGTTATTAGGTTAAAGTTCTCATGTCGGTGCATGCATAAAACGTAATTACTTAAAATTTGGATATCTGAGATTGACAGACAAAATTCTCTATACTATATATACTAATTTAACAAGTGGATTTCCTTGATTTAAGGAAATATATGTATATTGAGATACGCAAAGTTTAGTAGGTTAGAAGTTTAAAGGAGAGGACTTCCATGTTGTGGTCATATTAGACTGGGATATACAGTATGAGATTTACATAACATTTGAATATGTACTGAATAAAAATTCTTAAATTTTACATTTTAATCAGCAATCTATCAGAAATACGGTGGATTGGTTATACTGTACTGTAAAGCCTTCAGAACCCCTGCAATACTAAAACTGGGATCCAACAGGCAGTGAATATTGCATTTTGATTTTAAGTGTAGATGTTTTTCACATATTTTAAATTTTTTTTTAATTCTTCTTAGTTTGTATAATTCATATGTTATATTTTCCACAGACAGATAAATGAATGCCTGAACTGATGTTTTATGGGTTTCAGATTACTTTCTATACAAAACAGATATCATAAATTATCTATTGTCCGACTGTGTGCATTGAACATTTGACGACAACGATGTCTCCAAATTCCCAACTGTAACTTAGGCTACGGGCCTCGCTTGACACTTCACATAAAAGGGCCTGTTAATTAACCTTGCACAGCTTCCTCCTCCTCATCATCATCATCTTCATCATCATAATTATTAATTGTCCATAGCAAAGTAGAGAAAAACTATGAATTCAAAGTGTATTCAATAATAGACGTCTCATAATGCACAAAGTTATATTTATTTATTTATTTATTTGTTATTTATACTGGGTTTCCTCTTCAGTACAAATTACTGTTCTCCCAGAGGGCCCAGTACACATAAAACAGTCCACGACACACAAGACAAACATACACACATGATGCTTTACACAAACTAAATCTCAATATTAGGCTTAGGGAGTGGAGTTGTTGTCGTCGTGAGAAAAAGTCCTGCAACTGACAGGAATTGAACCCATGACCCTGGGATTGGAAGGGAAGCATCTTAACCACCAAGCTATTCAACTCCACTCAAGTGTATTTCAAAGAACCTAGAAAACAAAAACTTTTTGAATATCTAAAATTTATCTTCCAGCGACAAAACAAGCTAGCTCTCATGACTCTCCCAATATGGGAACCCGTCTGTGCGAAAGCCAGGGTAAACTCTGGATCTGTGCTTGACAGGTATTTAATGCTTAAATAAGGTATATTTACAGTATGTTTATTAATAGAAAATAATGTTGCATACTAGAACTATCAGGAATAAATATACAGATAATTAGGCTCCCGAGGGGACATAGACACAAAAACCGCTTATAACTCAAATAGCACACATCATCATCTGGCACTTCAGCAGCGTGTGCAAGCGACGCATTCGCTGCATTCGCTTTATTAAAAACTATTTTCTCCATGATAAAACGTCTGTTTATTTTTTTTCTTCAATTTCCAAAAATAGTTTGCGGAACGTCGCTATAGTGCATTAAGATAGATAGCGAAATTAAAAGTTTAAATTTAGGGTCAAGCCAGCTCCACCAATCGATACCTCAAATTTACATGAACACGTCGGGACAATGTTTATCAATGGGTCTTTTGAATGTCAGTAGTACAGATACATAGCCTTACATGCATCTACCTACTTCATTCAAGAGAAACATTTCTCTCATGTCCAACTAGGCTAGGCTTACTGTATATTTCACCTACAAGAGGGTAGCCCAACATAACTGGGGAAAATCCAGTAGGGGAGAGGGACGACACGGGGAAAGGGCACGTGCCTGCCCCGTTTTGCCACTAATTTTTTTTTTTTATTTCAATGCAATGTATGTGCTATTTATTCTGAAACTGTTGTTATTATAATGATAAATATTATTGTCTGTGAGTGACATTAGCACAGTTTGGTAGAGAAATATGTAGCACACTCTGGAAATCCTTGACCCAATGGAGGATATTCAAACCGATTAGGGTTAAAACGACCTTATTCAGCACTAAACAACATATGATCTATACGAACATACCTACAGTAGTACCAGAGATTCATCCAATTTAACCTCATATATTCAAGGTCCAAAATCTGTCTCCGTAAACCACTTGAATTTTTTTACACATTTTCCGTTCTTAACCCTGAATCTATTATTCACCTAAAAATTCAATCTCCTCAAAATCTTATTTTTGCATCATTTGCTTACCACAAACCACTTCAGACAAACCGCCTGTTTTTGGCCGGTAGTTGTATGCGGTATATTGCAAAAAAAGAAAAAAGAAAGAAATTTTGTACTTATTTTATATCTATATAACAAACTTCAGAAAGAGCAACGGCATTATAGTGCTCCCCATACAACATAATCATTATGTAGAAAGAATTAAGGCCAACGCTGGATGTGTCCATTAGCTAAGGTTGGCACTGTAGATTTTAACCCTAACATACTGTACTTCTTCTCCAGGAAGTACATGTGAAATCACTACTCCCAGACCATAAGCCACCAACCAGATGCATTCGCATATTCACATCATAATGATATAACAACTTGCTATTCATAAGCTACATTTACTATATTGAATGCCTTTTCACATGCAGAGGTCCAATTTCTGGTTACCTCTTAACGTTGTAAATTATTTAAGGGGTAGATAACAGAGGATAAATTTTGCAGAAATTTTTCATAATATTTATAATTTGTGACAGGCTCTGGTTAAAACCCTCCCAGTTGTTGCAATTTCCCACAAGCACCAGAAACGTAATGTTTTTGCGTTTTACCAATAGAACCGAAAATTGGTAGCACCAATCGGGAAGGAGGGTGGCACACTCAAATCATCAAATGTAATATTACTGAATAAGTTATAAATCATTAAGTAATCAAATATAATAAGGGATTGGACTGTTTAAAAATCTATTGGTTTTTGTGTTAAATTGCGTGATTTTGTTACCATTGCGGAGGTTTTTATTGTGGCTGTGATAACGAATACGTGGTACAAGATCATAAGAATGTGATGTTGAAGTGAGACCCTTGGCGAATTTGAGACAGTGTCCCACCCTCCTTTCCGAGAGCAGTTCGAGTTCGCAAAGGCCAAGAGCATGTTCATAAGAGTTGAAATTTCTGCCTAGGATAATATGGCATGCTCTTTTCTGTATCACTTCAATGGTGCTACTTAAATCTTGAGTGAGACCCTGCCACACAACATCAGCATATTCTACTGTATTGAAGTACATTTCTGCAAAATATCAATCACTATCAAAAGTATATTAAAATTATTTTTAATATACAAATCTTGATAATATATTATTGATTTTTGAATCTTCAGAAGCTGTTCTCTCAAAACCTACATGGCTGATATCCAATGAATTACGTGCATAACTTTAATAACGTGCTAATACTCAACCGATTTTCATCAAATAAACACTGTTTTAACCTAATCTTTAATATTTGTATTGTTTTAATACATTTCAATTTCATGCTGGGGAGGGGGTCCAGCTGCAATGACATTCTGCACCACCCAAAGTTACCAACGAGAGCAAAGTAAGTGTGGTCAGGCATCTCTCAAAATCTCTTTAGTTGTCCAGGGGGCATAACAATTTAGGGGTTTCAAAGGCTTTAATCCCCTGTGCAGGGTGGTGACAACAAATCTATAAAAAAAAAAGTAATAATCTGCCTATCCAAAACATTCTATTGCGGATTGCCAATCCCAGGTTGGTCTAATTTGGGCTATACTATGCAAAGCCAAATAAAAATATACACTCCCAGAGGGAATTGCGAACTCTAGCACCAATTCACAATTTGTATCAGACACACTGACATACCAGCACTTATATGTACAGTTTAGTTTAATAGGTAGCGGATAAAAATTAATTTTGTATTTGATGCCTACACAGTGTTAAATTCTTACTTTATTTTTTTGGCAGTTTTTTGGAGAATCATTTACAAAACAATTTCTATCTGCTAAACAATCGGTGTAGGCCTGTCCACAACAGACACTAGGCTGCCAACCACCTCACCATGCAAATGATTTTGATAAGACCAACACATGCCCAATCATTGCGTGCAGAGAATCACTCAAATGAAATTTCCTCCATGGTAGTACGTGTACTAAGCATGCGCTAGACACGAAAAGATGTCCAACCGATCGAAAGAAATGATACCCAATTATATAGGCAAACAACTCCATTATCACTAAAGCCATTGCACGTTTCAAATGAGCCTGTCGGCTATGATAATTCTTGGCTACTGTATTTTTAGCAACATCAGTAGTGATCAGTACACAGAGCGTGTCTTATATCGTGAAACGTACTAGTAACAGAAAGTTTTTAAATATATTTGATGATGCTTTCAACTAATGTATTACTATTAAAACATAATATGTTTTTCATTTTTTTTATAGGCAAGAAGACTGTACAGGCCTTCCTGATAAATACACCAATTCTTGAGGGGATTGCTGAAAACGACAAGAAGTAAAAGCTGTAAAACAGTATATTCAATGAGCCCAAAAAACAAAGGAAGAAAAAAAAAAAGAATTTGTAAGGTCATTATGATTATTATGCAAATTCGTCTCAGGCAAATTTAAGGGTGCAAAAATCAATAAAATCAAACCCTCAGCAATTACTGGAGTTTTATGTAGCATTTTGCATTTGGTTATTAATATGGATAGGCACATTTTAGAGCTTTTTAAACTGAGGTAGATTCTTATGTGCTCAAAAGAGGAACTGCTCTAGTTTATTGTACAAATGCTCAATCATTAAGTGAAACCTTAGTCACTGCCCCAGTTTTAATGAGTGTTGTACAATTATCAATGCCCTGATAGTTGACTTCCATGCCACTATTCTGACTACAGCATTAATTGTAGCCACTAAATTCATAACATTTGTGTTGTATAAAAAAGAAATTGCATTTTTTAAGCATCCATTATCTATTAATTTAGAACTCCACCAAAAGTGCCCATCACAAAAGCCCAAATTTTTAGTCAGTCACTGGCAGCCCCGGATACATTTGGTACATTTTCGAAAGTGATGGGCCACCACCCCAGCCGGCTGCATCCCCACATGCCATAGAATCTGCCTCCACCACATGGCAATAAAGAATTAAATACATAATTAACCACCATAGTAGGGCTTATGAAATACATGTAAAGACATTACATAAATACATGTTAAAATCGATTAAAACAATGTGTATAGCCCTAGTAATAAATCGAATATTTGGATGGAAAAGGACCATCGAGTAGACCATAAAGAACGATTATCATTTTATTCAGATTGTCCTTGATGTTATTCAGACGTTTCTGAGCAATATAAGTGATATTTTATTATTAAAATGAATTATTTTGTCTACCTAACCATGTTTATATTGGTATTTTCTTGAAAGCCTATTAGAGACGACCAGAAGAAAAAGCGATTCAGAAGTCGTAGGCTTAAAAATTACTATTGGTAAAGTAAATTTTTGTCTGTCTCTTTTAAACTATTAAAATGTTGGTACCTTATATGACTAGGACAAATGTAGCTAAAAATCTGTGTAGAGGGTGCCATGGGATATGTCACGCAACAAGTGGGGGTGGTGTTTAGTTTTTTTTGTTTAGAAATGCTTGAGACCATAGACAATGATAAAATTTAAATTAGGAATTGGCGCTTTTTTTTAAGGCCTATTAGAAAGTCGTTCTCCTCTTTCAGGACTTCTCTCATACCAATATTTGGGGGTGATAATGTTTATTTATATAGCATATCTTCATTGGAACTGCATGCTAATGAAATTCATATACTTAATTTATATGTTGCATACAAATATTAAAGCTATTAAGTGTGTGCAAATACTATTGTTAAATAGTCGCACAATATTTTTGGAATTGTCTACTTTACAGAATGCAAGGGGCCCACAAATTGTTTTCACCGCCAGGCCCATCATTACGCCACTGAAATCATTGCTTTGTATACTTGTATTTAATGAAGAGATGCTACTTTATTTTTGAATACTAAAATTAGTATTCTTTGTCTAACAAATACTGATAGTTTCGAATAAAAATAAAATTTTATTTTTGGCCAATTAGCGCGAACGCCGCTATAATGAAAACGTGGAAATTAAAAAAAAAAAATAATAAAAGTGTTTCTTCATTTTTATTACGCCCTCCGCTGGCTTAATTAAAAATCTCCAAATATAAGATATTTCATCCTAATTATATAAATTTGAATCATTTAACCATCCTATTTTACATTCACCAATAACATTTTACTTTTATTTTCTCCTCCATCTGGATGTTTTTGAAAACAAAATTTTATTTTTATTCTGCCCTCCTCCGATGATCTTAAAAACAATAAGTACACGAAACAAGGAATAAAGAAAGTTTTGCCTAACAAATACCAGTGGAAATCAGCTGTATTGTGTTATCTTGATGTCAAATCAAATTCATGTAGAAATGTAATAATTTAAAAATGTATTTTTTGTATTTAACTAGCACTCTTACTTATACTCTAAGTACCCGTCCCAGAAACCCAAGTACTAAGGTACTTGGACACTAGTATTTAGAACATGTAGTGTATGGTAATTTGTTTAAGATTAATATTGATGTACCATATTTATTCGAATAAATAATAAATAATTAATGAGAAGGGTTTTTGAGGGAGTGGTTATCCAGGGGTGGGTTTTTCTTTAATATAAAAAGGATACATTATACAAGGATACACTATACTCAAATAACGTTCCTTAATGTGGAAATGCAACACATAATTACTATCAAAATATGTTACTGCATAATCATAGACATATTGATCCAAACCACGTTAGAATATGTAATTCTACTGGAGTAGCTTATTATTAATAGAAAGTGTTGAGAATGATTTTGTTTACAGTCATTTGGTGGGGGAGGGGATGGCAGGGCTTATTCAAGGAAAAATATAAAAAAATTGAACCATTTATTCGAGGGAGGTGTTTATTACAAATGAGGCTTTGGATGGAGTCTTTATTCAAATAAATTGGTAATTAAGCAGTTGTTTGATACTTGTTCTTGATCATGCTTTGAATGATTAATCTGTATACTGTAAAATACAACTGGAAGTCGAACCTGGTAATGTTTTATGAAAATAATGATAAATCAAATTGATGGTTGAGTGAAGGTGCTATTCTGTCCTGCTGTTGTCTGATTTGATATATCAAATTAAATCCTTTATATACAGTTAACAAAGTCGGTAAAAGCAAATAATTTACATTACTTTAATAATCCTTTTTTTTTAATAATATAGTCAGCATTTTCTTGCACACAAGGCCTGGCCCTGACTGAATTTAACGCTGGTGTAGAGCATTTTCTTTAGGAAATATAGCCATTTGAGAAGGTGGCGACAAACTACCACCATACACTATAGTGGCTATGAATAATCAGAAAGTATATTTAAAGTTAATAATACTTTAGTATTCCCAGAAAACTACTTTAATTTGTTTTACTGTACCATACTTGTACAAACAAGCGCCCGGGGCACTTAACAAATTGTTTTACACCATTTGAGAAGCGCTTATTCAAGTGGGGAGCTTAAGAAAACAGTGGGAATATAAGAGGCGCTTATAGTAACTTGGACAATTTAATGAGCACTTTTTGAATGAAAAAGATATTATTTAGAGTACCCCATGAACGAAGCCTAGATTAAGTAAGGCGCGATCTACAAATTATCCCCAACGAAAGAAACGCGTCTGGGAAAACCATGTATTACAAACGCGTCTGGGAAAGCGATCGTCTAATTATCGTGCCTCATGAATATTAATAAGCTAGTCGGAATATGTCCCAGACGCGTCTAAAC